ACACACAGAGACACAGAGACACAGAGACACAGACACACAGACACACAGACACACAGACACACACAGAGAGACACAGACACACAGACACACACACACACACACACACAGAAAGCCAAATGTGTCTGATTGACAGTGTCACAGTTTAAGATTGATCTGATGCAGCATTGCATTTACAGTATGAATCAGGGCTATTTTACATTGTTTTGTGGTGTGTTTGAGGACCTGTTTATCTGAATCTGAGTGCAGTCGATTGTCTCTCTCATCTCAGTCAGTGTACCTAAGGTGTTTGTGCAGTAAATCCAGCGTGTGTGTCATGTGTCGCTCTGCTGTAGGTTTTACACGCTGCTGGTGCTCTCGACCGCTCTGTTTGGGAAACCGCCGTTCAAGAACGTGATTGTGAACGGCCTGGTTCTGGCGAGGTAACGCACACACTTCGGCCTGCACTGACTCCGTCCTCAGGCAGGAAAACAGTACCGCTCTCTGACCTGGAATCTCTGCCAATGTGTGTGTGTTGTGTGTGTGCAGCGACGGACAGAAAATGAGCAAGCGTAAGAAGAATTACCCTGACCCCAGCCTGATTGTGCAGAACTACGGCGCCGACGCGCTCCGGTGAGCAAACCACACATCATACACAAACACAAAACATTCTCCTTCTGCACACTATCTACGAATATTAATCTGCGAGCCATTTGAAATCCCTCTCAAGCACATGTTGTGACATGGGCATATGGGTAATGAATAATAAGATATTTATGTCCATCCATATGGGGCCGTGCACACTAAACGCTCTTACATATGATATGACCATGACTTTTACACCCCTTTAGTTTGGCTTTTGTTTGTTGTGTGTTGTGTGTCAGGGATTGGAGATATATTGAATATTTGCAATATATATGATATTATTTTGAAATAAAAACTTTTTGAATTTGAAGATCAGGGTACATTTAAATTATTTTGTCTTCTGGGAAACATGTAAGTATACTCTGTAGCTTCTGAAGGGCAGTACTAAATGAAAAAAAGATATGATATTTATGGGTTACGAGTCCGACTCTCTAACCATTAGGCCACGACTTCCCACGACTAATAGCTGCATATGAGTCCCTCAGTTGTGCTCAGTGTGAAAAGATGCATCTCAAAATCATACAGTCATTGCTGTATAGGGCTCAAATACACAAAAAGACAAACAAGGGACTCATGAACAACTATCACTAAACAAAAAAACACAGCTGTGGATAATTTAGGTAACAACACAGTATTAAAGGGATAGTTCACCCAAAAATGAAAATTCTGTCATTAATTACTCACCCTCATGTCGTTCTAAACCCGTAAGACCACCGTTCATCTTCGGAACACAAATTAAGATATTTTTGATGCATTCTGAGAGCTCTCTGACCCTCCCATAGACAGCAATGTAATTACCACGATCAACATCCAGAAACGTAGCAAGGAGATCGTTAAAATAATCCATGTGACAACAGGGGTTAAACCGTAATTTTACAAAGCTACGAGAATACTTTTTGTACGCAAAGAAAACAAAAATAACGACTTTATTCAACAATTCGTCTCCTCCGCGTCACCCTATAGCACCACTTTAGAGAGTATCCACTGAACATAAACAGCGTATGCTGTTCTGTGTCAGCTACGCCACGCGGATACATTGTTTTCATTCAGATCAAAGCGTAAATAAATGTAGAAAACGTATCCGCTAGGGCTGGGTAAAAAATATCGATATCCATTTGAATTGATTCTCATTTTTACGTAACGATATCGATTCTTAAATCCCAAGAATCGATTATTCTAGCCTGTTTTCAGTTAATGGACGGAACATTGAAGGGTACTTCCCATCCAATAAATCGCAATAAGCATTGTGCTTTGGTACTTTTAATATGAAACAAAGTCTCAGAGTTCAAATTCTGTCCATTGTATTGCAGTATTCAAACAATAAATGCCGTTTTGGCGCTGTTTAATGTGAAGTGACAGATCGCTGTAGCTCCTCAGTTCAACAGACGTGAACTGATCATCTCCTCCACATTAATACCAGTTTCAGCACAAAATAAACATGACTAAACATCCGAAGGTAAGTTAAAAGAAAGAGTACAACTTAACAATCCGTATCCTGTCTCATGTAATCGCTCAATCAGTGTTTCAGCCGCGCAAATATGTCAATAATGACTTGCAAACAGTGTGTCATGTAACGTCACATTTAGAAAAAATGTATTCGGTGACCATAAACTCAGATAGAAAAATAAACTGTAGAGAGGGGCATTTTGCTGAAAATATGCACCATATAACATATTCATTATAATTTTTACTGTTCTCCAATGTTTAATTCATGTTTGAATAAATTCATCAATTTTTTTATGACAGACACCATTTAAATGTTTATATTTAAAAAAGAAATAACGAATTGAAGTAGAAATATTATGTAATTGTAACTTTATTATTTTAAAAACTTCATTAGGTGTAATTTTAGCAGTTGTATAGCCTACAAATCAGGCAATTTTAACCTTCAATATTATAGTAATGTAGTACCAACTGACTCATGTATATTTTACAGCATTACGTGAGAGATTTGTATGTACTGCATGTACTGTACCTGATATATGTCCAAAATAATCGATATTGAATCGAATCGAATCGCAAGCTTGTGAATGGGAATCGAATCGAATCGTGAAATTTGTGTCAAAACCCAGCCCTAGTATCCGTGTGGCGCAGCTGACACTGGATTTCACCCGGCTCGCAGGGCATCGTTACATCCCTCCTCTTTCAGCTCTGATGTCATCGTTTCTGTCCCTCCAGACTGTATCTGATCAACTCCCCCGTGGTCCGTGCTGAGAACCTGCGCTTCAAAGAAGAGGGGGTTCGAGACGTGCTCAAAGACGTCCTCCTGCCCTGGTACAACGCCTACCGCTTCCTGGTGCAGAACATCCAGAGACTGCAGAAGGTACCGACCGGATCTCCTGAAGCGCCGCAGAGCCTCTCTGATCCACTGAAGCCATTCAACTGCAAGACTTTGCTCAGTCAGCGCAGAACGTTTAGTTTAGTTCAGTTTTTGTGGCCTCAGCAGCAAACCTCTTGAAATCTGACATTCACAAATTGAAACCACATCCATATGCAGGTCTGTTTTATTTATTTTTTATTACCGTATTGGCCCGAATATAAGACGACCCTGATTATTAGACGACTCCCCCTTTTCCAGATGTACCTTTTGGAAAAAGGGTTTTTAAAAACCAAATCTTGTTTTTTCTCAGTAAAACACATTTTGTCTTCAATTATTTTCATATTGCATATTTTTCCTATTTTAATTTTTGTTTTGAAAGTATGGTAAAAACTGGTAAAATGTACCAACAATCACATTTAAAAATATACACTTTTTGATAAACCATTAAAAAAAACAAAAAAAAAACAGGTAGCCCATCTGAATTAGGACATTTAGGCTATCCATCTAATAGTAGCCTACCAAAATCTTATTAACAGTAGAAGTTAAATCTTACTGTAGTCTTCAAATCTGGGTACTGTCTTACGTTTTAAAATCACAAAGGGAGTTTGGTCCCATCAGGCTAACGTGACAGTCACGACTCATGCAGCTGTAAGCTTTTCTTTTTCTTTTGTTTTTACTCGCGATCTTTACAACACGTATTACATTACGTATTTCATGGCACACTCGTTTTATGCGTATTTGGCGCCACCTATTGTTGTGGGTGTATTATTGACATGTCAAAGTCTAGACCCTGAATATAAGACGGCCGCGTTTTTTCAGATGTATTTCCAAGAAAAAAACATCGTCTTATATTCGGGTCAATACGGTATTTTTTTTTAAGTAAAGACATTTATAATGTTACAAACGACTTCAAATGAATGCTGTTCTCATGAACTTTGTTCATCATCAAATCCTGAAACATAAACTGCACCACTGATTCCACACAAATATTAACTTTTCAACATTGATAATAATTAGAAATGTTTCTTGAGCAGGAAATCAGCATATTAGAATGATTTCTGTTCGGCTTTGACATCACGGGGGGAAAGGATATCACATTTTAAAATATATTAGAAGAGAAAAGTTATTTTAAGTTAATCAAATAAATTCAAACTTGGTAGCATGCAAAGGCGTTTTGTAAAGTTCATATTTTAAAACCTTTCAATATTTTAACATATTAGAGTAATAAACTTAAAGTTAAAGGCTCAGGGGATCATCGGTCAGAAAGTTTTGGATACCTGATGTAGTTTTACTGACATCCTCTCATGCGTCTTAAGCTCAGCACCGCTTTTTTTGTCCTCTCTTTCTACACACTGACAGCAACTCGGACTTACTTTCCTCTGTGTAAGATGAAAGTGGATGTTTAGAAAGAATGTCTTGAGTGCTACTTTCCTAAACATTACCAAGACATTTGTCATTGTCAAGGTCAGGCATGCTGCAGTGCATTTGACACGTCATATCTGAATCGAATGCAAGCTCAAATGAGCTTTGACGACTAGAAATTAGAAGATCTTTAGTGAATAAGAACAAAAATATTCCTTTACCGGGTCTCCATTTTAAACTGGCCATGATAATTTTCTTTCTTCCAAACTTCCCCTTGAGAGTCAGTAGAGTAGATGTGTCTAGATGTGCTCAGTGCTTGACATTGGTTTCTCTTCCAGTACGCAGAAATGAAGAAGCACACACATATAACCACGTCTGTCTGTTCTCTGCTCTCATTAGGAAGAGGCCGTCGAGTTCCTGTACAACGAGAGCACAGTCAGCGTGAGCGACAACATCATGGATAAATGGATCCAGTCTTTCACTCAGTCACTCATTCAGTTCTTCAGAGATGAGATGGGAGGTGAGCCACCAGTGCTTACTCTCACACCAATCAATGGGTAACTCCTACACTTGAAGAGGTTTGACAACAAGGACAGTCTGAAATAGAACTGTTTTTGTGTGCTTGTGTTTCCAGCCTACAGACTCTATACGGTGGTTCCCAAACTTGTCAAGTTCGTGGATATGCTCACCAACTGGTATGTGCGGACGAACCGCAGGCGGCTGAAGGTGGGAAAGATACGAGTCATACACAGGCCAATCTCACAAAACCTGTCAGAAATATCCTCGTTTCAGGTTTCTTTATTAATCAAAAGAAAGAAGGAAGAATATATTTGTTCTAGCCTCTAGTTTTTCTTTGGAAACCCCTTTGCTTGTGATCTTTGCTCTAAAAGTGAGCCACACTGAAAACCATTATAAAGGCCGTAAAACACAGATCTGTTATTTTTGAAAGATATCGCATCCCTGAATGTCTTTCATCCATATTGTGCGAAATGCACTTTGAAATTTCTGTTAAATCAATGCTTGGTCCATTTACAAACAAAAGACAGACAGAAAGAAAGAAACCCATTATCAATGCATAAATTCTTATTAGGGCGCAATGGATAAGAAATGCATGTGAGTTTTCATCTGGTCTGATTTTGTATTATGATAGAGAGAAAACGTTTGCCGGCTATTTCCTGCTTCGTTTTCTTGGTACAGTCACTTGTGGCATCCTTCATAAGATCATGTGTTTTATAACAACTTCTGTATTATTCTGCTTTGTTGATGAACGGTGCAACTGTGCAATCTTACAACTGCAATTTTGGTGTATTTAACAAATGTTAATCACCTTTATTGTCACTTGCGGTTTAGATGGACCCATTTTGCACATACGCCACAACAAATCCTGTTTCTTCCACAGTTATGCAAAACAGTTTTATGCAGTACTGCAGAAAGTGCTGTAGTGTTTTTGTGGTGTTTTGGGAGAAGATAATGTCCCATGGGCCCTCTTTAGCTCCATTGTTCACTATTATAGAGAGTAATATGTGTGAGGTTTGGACAAAGTGGTTTGGAAAAAAAGATAAATGGAATATGTGAGGAACTATGAGGGGAATATTAGAGAAGATTTATCAAAATTATTTAACCCCCTTGAAATGAAAGACATTCTGGTGTTGTGAACAAAATTGTATGTAAATTTTATATAAACTTAGGCATTAATAAACCATAATAGAAGGATTTATTAATGCAAATGGTAAAGCTGAGTTAGGCAAATTGACTGTAAACATTTATGTAAAAAATGTGTATAAATAAATAATATACAATAATTTCTTTAATGGGTGATAATCACCCAACACATCTCGTATGAGGCTCGTGAGCTCAGCAGGTGCTTAAAAAATGAAAATTTGACATGTTTAGTGAGGTTTTCTCAAATGTTCCAGTACTACAAATTTGCACATTTTTGCTCATTTTGTTAGATCTCATCGTTTCTCATCAGTTTGGCTCGCTCAATTGTTCTGACAAAACATGCTGTTTTAAAAAAAGTTAGGTGTGCCCCAGGTGTTTGTCATAAGCCCGTTTGCATTCTCTAATATTGAGAAACTGCTTCTCACCGATGAACTCTTTACATTAAATCTGGATCAACATTAAATCTGGGTCTGGGATTAAATCATAATCTCTGTACATTATGTTGTTAACACAAGTGTAAACACAGAGCTGGACCTGCAGGCTCACACATGACAGCGTGTTGTGACAGTGCGCTGTAGAGGCAGTGTGTTGCGTGCTATGTGCTTGCAGCTGTTAGCCTCTCTCTCTCTCTGTGTGTGTGTTCAGGGTGAGAGTGGTACTGAAGACTGCATGCGAGCCCTGGAGACCCTCTTCAGCGTGCTCTTCTCCATGTGCAGACTGATGGTGAGTCACGCCAGCGCTCGCAGCTCCTACATACTTCAGATGTAGAGAAGAGAAGGAATGTGGTCATTCTCAGTGGAGTGTGATGAAATGATAGAAGTGTAGCAATGCTGGTGGAAGAATTATGGTGCAATGCTAAAATTAAAATCACTAAAACCACTGGTTTGTATACTGGAAAAAATACTTAAATTATATTATCAATATACTAGAAACAGTCCCTAACTTAAAATGCAAAAATGCAATTGTAACCTTTTAATGAATTATTCCCTTAATAGTTCATGTAATTATGCTTGGTAAATGTATCTTGTTTTAAGGATGGTTATTTATTTATCTATCTATTTTTGGAAAACAAGATAAAATGACAGATTAAGAAGCTGATTTTGCTTTGTAATAGTTGTACAGCTGATCATCCTTTCATAACTATGAAGGCAGGGCATCAGTAGAGCTCATTTACTGTGGTAATCAATTACTGACCCAATAGGTAATTGGCAAAATCATTTGATTGATAAGCAGGGTGTGAGACAGTCAATGGCCCATTTTCCTCTTCAGTGATTCTGAGTATTTATTGTTTAAATGAATGTCCATAAATCCTCACTGTTCAGTTATTGCTTAAGCAGATGATGACAGATGTTTAAGAGGGAAGAAAACCAAAGAAAATCCTGGTTATGAGTTTGATGTCTGTTATTAACCTTGGCTTTGTGTCACGATGGTTACATGAATAGAGTTGTGCTTTCATTGCTGTGTTCCTTCACTAATGGCGTGTTTCTTGGTCTCAGGCTCCCTTCACGCCATTCATAACGGAGCTGATGTACCAGAACCTGCGTCATCTGATCGACCCGGCGTCAGTGGAGGAGAAGGACACGGCAAGCATTCACTACCTCATGCTGCCGCATGTCAGGTACACAGCATTACTGCCACTGCCTATACAGACACGTCTTTGCTCTTTCTTGTCCTAGCATACACACTGCCGTTCAGAAGTTTGGCATCAGTAAGATTGTTAATCTTTTTTTTTTTTTAAAGAAGTCTCTTCTGCTCATCAGGGCTGCATAAGAGTTTTCTATTTTATTTGACATTAAAATGTAATTTATTTCTGTGATCAAAGCTACATTTTCAGCATCATTACTCAAGTCTAATAGTTGTATCTCAGCCAAATATTGTCCTATCCTAACAAACCATACATCAATGGAAAAAGATATCATTTTCATATATAATAAATGACTTGCGCCTCAGAGCAAGCAGACGAAACACAATGAATGCGGTCAATGCTTTCGGAGGCAGATGCTGCTGTTTGGGAACGCAGTCGTGTGAGACAATTATACAGAAATACTTTGATGACAGACTTTGCTCGTGCATTTCTGAATGACCATAACAATATTTCAGATGCTGTGGAGTGAGATCGGTTCGCTGGTTAGTCAGGTTTTGCCGTCCCGTAGCGCAAAGTCACATGCCTTGATGCGCTTGGAGGAATTTATTCGCAAAATGTGTTTCCATCTCCCATTATTTTTGCACAAGTCAAAAACCACCTCAAGCGAGCGTAAAAAACCTTTTTTGTGAATTAAGGGATTTTTATTAGAAATTTGGCGTTTCCATCACTCACGCATTAAAATAGGGTGATGGAAGCATAGCTAATGTGTCCGGTCAGATGTCGAGAGTGAAATCAGGACGGTCCTTGTGTTCTGCTGACATGATTTAGCGTGTCCTTTAATGTCCGGCTGTAAACACATTCCCCAGAGTACCTCTGATGAGCTGGACTCTGGTTTGAGCAGTAAAACGCGCCGAAAGTCCTTCAACCTTCAGTCCGTCTCTGCTGCTTTTATTAATTCACGTAGTGTCCTGTGTTACTGTGCTCTGTGTGTATTAATGTTTCTCTCAGAGGTGACCTGCTGTCAGAGACGAGGACAAACACCTCATTTACTGATTGAACATCTTCCTAATATTTCAATGCACTGCATTTCACTGAACACTGTAACCGAGAAACAGTCCACAGACGGAGGTTTTTCCAGTCAACACGATGCAAAGCTCGGAGTGTCCTGAGGATGTTCTATATATAGTGATTAGATTGCTTACAAACTGTAGGGCCTTACTGAATTCATATTCACGTTTTAGGTAATATGTGACCCTGGAACACAAAAGCAGTCTTAAGTCGCTGGGGTATATTTGTAGCAATAGCCAACAATACATTGCATGGGTCAGAATTATCCATTTTTCTTTTATGCCAAAAATCATTAGGATATTAAGTAAAGATCATGTTCTATGAAGATATTTTGTAAATTCCCTACTGTAAATATATTGAAACTTAATTTTTGATTAGTAATATGCATTACTGGACAACTTTAAAGATGATTTTCTCAATATTTAGATTTTTTTTGCACCCTAAGATTCCAGATTTTCAAATAGTTGTATCTCGGCCAAATATTGTCCTATCATAACAAACCATACATCAATGGAAAGATTTTTTATTCAGCTTTCAGATTATGTATTAATGTCAATTTAAAAAATTGACCCTTATGACTAGTTTTGTGGTCCAGGGTCACATATAATCTGATTACTTTTTTGGTTTCTTTTATATTACTTTTGACCTAATTTGTCACATTGATTTGAATAGGATAATATTTTACCGTATTGATATAAAAATACAAATAGAAATATTTAGCAACAACTTGAAGTACATTAAACATGACATTACATCAGTGTTTCCCAAATGGGTTTGTGAAGGAACTGCAGGAGGTTTGTAAGTTTATAAAGTTCATAATTAATTTAAAAACATAAAACTTTCCAGACAAATTAAAGTAGCAGGATTTCTAAAAATGAAAAATTTAAAGGATAGAAAAGGTTAATTAGGGAAAATCAAGGAATTATGAACAGTTTACTCTCATTGTGTGAACAAAATGGAATAATCATGGAAATCAATGTAATAGTAGCTGTAATCTGATTATACACATTTTAAAACAGTGTCATTACAAGAACTTTTTTTTTTTAAATCTGTTTATGTAATTCAGATTACATATCAGTTATTACCCAGCACTAAATATGTGTAGTTTATGGTGTTTTTAACAAGAAGTCAGAAACAGGGCTTAAAGTTCTCCGGCACCGTGCCGGATCTCCGGCGTGCGGCGTTTGGCTGCGGGAAAATAAGGTAGTAATCCTACATTTAAAAACACTTGTTGATATCACGTTGGAGTTCATGAGTTCGCCTACCAATGTATGAGAGGAACACAGCTTTCACTCTCAACCAAACTAACATTACTAGCCAATCAGAAGTTTTTGCTCTTATAAACAGGAGACGCGCATAATAGTATCCAACTGCAGAGTCGCAGCTGATGAATAGAAAAGAAGCCTGGATCTCGAGCGCGACACGTTGAAAAAGCTGCGAGGCACAATGGTAAAAGATTTCCATCTAGCGTCATATTTACATAGAAAAGCTATTAAAAAAGCAGCGGAGCTTTGTAAACAGCTCAGAGTAATCATGTCATCTCCATATTTCTAAATATGCGATGTATTGTACATCGTGATTTCAAAATAAAAGTTTATGACTTTGCATGTGGCCAAATATTAAAATTAAATGTTGTTGAATCACATGAAACATCACCAGGCCATTGGCGCCCTCTGCGGGTATTTGTTATAATATAGGCATATTACATTATGTATTTAACAGTGTTGTTCAATAAAACCATTTACTTGGTTTTGATACTTTATTTGAGGCCAATTATTATTGCCTCATCGTTACTTTATATATAAATATAGTCATATTAAAGCCTGCTTTGCCACTTAGTTCTATTTGTATTACTAAAAAACATCAGATTACTCACTTGTCAAAATAATCAGTAGATTACTTGATTAGCAAAATAATCATTAGTTAAGCCCTAGATTAGTTAAAACATTTCAAAATACAACTGCACTGGTTTACTTTTTGTGATTAAAAGAGAAATATTTTGTCATTTAGAAAATTTCTTAAAGTATTAAAACATTGTCTCGTTCTAGTGAACCAAGTATCTGCATTTTGTCTCACCTCGTGAGCTAAGTGTTTTGTCACACCTCTAGTGTCTATGAGCGTGATCAAGCTCATAATTTTCCAAGTGTATGATATAGCTTTCATTCTTCAGGTCAATCATATATTCATGAAAAAAAAAATCAGTTTGAATAAGGAAAGCGATAACTTTGCCATAGTATCCTTTCAAATGTTAAAGTTGCCACAGTCATTGCATTCTTTGCATGTGCCGCACTTTATTTGTACCATTTTGTTTTATTCGTTTATTTATTAGAATTTGAAAGATTATAACAACATTGATTGATAAGTGAGATCTGATTTTAGTCCTTGAAAACCAAAAAAGTAGTGCAAGTCCTTGAAGGTCCTGGAATTTTATTTTGCAGTATCTGTATGAACCCTGTTTAAGTTATCAGTTCTTGGACCATTTTAATGTTTTTGTTGTTGTTAATTGAACTGAACTGTAGTTTTGTGTAGTAAACTGTCTTTGTATATTTCCTATTTTATATTCATTTCCTAGTATTTAATTGACCATTATTTCTTTTGAACAAAGCAATTTCAGAAATTTCATGTTTTAGATTGTAGGTCATCTTGTACCCTGTCAAGGACAAAGCTAACCAGCAAAACTTGATATCAAAAGCATCCTAAATGTTTGCACCATATTGTAATGAGTAAACATTCTTGGTATTGCTGTTTCAAATATCCTTGTGTAGGTAGGTGTCTGCCCCCGCAACCCCCCGGAAAAAAGTTCAGGCTCAGGATTTTTTTTTTTGCTTTAACCCCTGCAGAAAAACGGAGAAATCTGAAAATATTTCAACATAAACTATGGATGAGTTTGTCCAATGAGTTTTCAGTACATCTAAAATAAACTACACTAAAACTAAATAAATAGTCCAAAAAAAAAGAAATAACCACAAATTGAAAAACAAATATAAATGTATACATGTAAAATATAGAAAGCATATGGTTTAATTTGACTCTGTAAAGTAGGACTAATTAGCTTTTGGTTTACTGCTAGTTGGTCAGACTAATTAAGTCTTAACATAGTGGCTGTGTTTATGTAACTGGGTCACTCCAGCCCAAAAATATAGTGAGACACCTGAATTATGAATGCTAAACTGAACAGAGATGAATGTGTATTCAGTGAGATCAGTGAACACAGCAAGCAGTGACAGAAACTCTCGCAGAACATTCACTGTGTGACCTTCAGTGGCCTTTAACGCAAGCTAACTATTTATTTTATTAATGACTGTGTGAAGTCTCGCTCTGAATTTAGGGTCAAGCGTGAGGAAAATTCAAACGAACTAAAAACAAACAATTGCTTTACGCCGAATTGCCACTATTTGAAAGTGAAAGTAAAATGCGCACGTCGCTTTTGCAAGCTATTTAAAAACGAAGGAAAGCGAGGAAAAGAGGGAATGCCCCGCCCCCACGGTGATTACCGGTGTTGTCACACGTCGATTAACCGGTGGGAAAATTTCCTCACCGTCACAACCCTAGTGTGAAGCGCTCCTTATTATGAGCCGCTTGATTGGCTGTGGTTGTTTTGTTGTGTCCCAGCTCTTCCACAGCATGACATGAGTGTGTGTGTGTGTGTGTATGTGTGTGTGTCAGGGAGTCTCTGATTGACAAGCGCATCGAGAGCGCTGTATCTCAGATGCAGTCGGTCATTGAGCTGGGCCGTGTGATCCGAGACCGGAAGACCCTGCCTGTCAAGGTGAGAGAGCATCGTGACGCTGCAGCAGTACAGCTTTGGTTGGAGAGCTGCTGACACTGAGAGTGCTGGGATCTGTTTCAGTATCCGCTGAAGGAGGTGGTGGTGATCCATCAGGACCCAGAGGCGCTCCGAGATATCCAGTCCCTGCAGAAGTACATCCTGGAGGTAAGAGTTCACATGTGCGCACGCTTTCTGTGATGTGTCGTCATTTACCTGCTAGCTCTGTCCCGCTCTGCAGTGAATGAGGACTGAAGATTTCAAGATTTTCAGGATCATTAAAAGTGGTTCATTCTGCAATTATATGCAACTGCCTATATGTATATGGTATTAGCCTACATAAAAAAAAATATATATATCCAAATGAACTTAGCTGTAATCCAGTTATAACTAGTTAAGATTTGATTATACATCACTAAGAGGACATAATTCTGTTTTGACTAGTAGGTTAAACATTGACTTGTCAAAGTAAAGTCACTGATATCTGTAAATTAATTTATAAGTAGTAAAAGTAAAATTGGAACTAGTAGTAACTTATTTACAGATATAGACTGATTTATTCCCAATACTGGTCATGATAGCATTGCAGATGTCATCAGATTAGTTTTTTACCAGTAGAAATGTATTTAAAGAGCGTGCAGTGGTTATTCTTACTAGTCAGCAGTGTTGGAGAGCTCTTTATTCAGAGGCAGCTCATTATGTTAATGTCACCTCATGCATATTTATCTAGGCTTTTCTAAAAAGGCAGGCAGGAGAGCGTGGCGCGTGATTTCAAAACGCCAGCATTGTCTGCTTTCAATGCAGTTTCCAGTGCAGTTCCTCCTGGACGGTTTCTTTATGTTCACTCTTTCATTTCCCCCACATGCTGAGTTTGGGCTGTAGTTTCACCTGGCTTTGAGTGTGCAGCTCACAGTCACTCAGCACCCATAAATCTGCACTAAATGTGTCATTCAGACAGTTTACTGAATGCATTTGCTAAAAAATAAATTATTCAGAATGAAAAAATATCATGGAAATACCCAACCACCCTACAAATGGCTGTTGTCTGGAAATGTGTTTATTGAAATTGCATCTCGCGTATCTCTACACTGGAAGCGTGTGATGCCATGCAGCAAAACTAGACTGAAGTGTAGAAATGTTGCACACTTTCCCTGGATCACGATGGAGGTGATCTGCTGTTCACTTCCAGTGCAGGTTGAACATCACAGGTGCTATTATATTAGAGACAGCAGCTGCAGGCAAAGTGTTTGTTGCGCTGTTATTAAAACAGGAGATCTAGCGCTGTTTGTGCAGCTCCGCAGCACCCCCTGCTGGCGTGGAGCAGATCTAATCACAGAGCAGAAACGTTTACATCACTGTGTGTGTGTGTGTGTGTGCCCTCCGAGCTAAAATTAGCCACTCTGTCTCCGTGTCTGCCGCGCTCGATTGTTAAACCCCTCCGTGGAGAAAGCATTGGGCGGCACACGCCTGCCATTGATCAGAGCGCCGGAGTTCACCACGACCCGCTCCACTCACAAATATATTCATGAGAGAGACTCTGTGACTCGTGATGAACATACGAGCGACGCTGTGGAGGCACAATCTGAGCTGCTTTTTATTCTGCTCTCCCAGTGTGAGAAACACAGCAGACGCTGCAGTCACCTAATGTAATGAACAGCCTCCACTGTAATACACTGAACACGAACCCTCGATCAAGCCTCTCGCTTTAAATGAACAGTTTACACAAATGTGACCATGGAGCACAAAAGCAGTCATAAGCAGCACAGCATTTTCTCAATATTTAGATTTTTTTGCACCCTCAGATTCCAGATTTCAAATAGTTGTATCTCAGCCGAATATTGTCCTATCATAACAAACCATACATCAATGGAAAGATCATTTATTCAGCTTTCAGATGATGCATAAATCTCAATTTCGAAAAATTGATCCTTATGACTGGTTTTGTGCTCCAGGGTCACGTATTACATTTTTAAATACTTGTAATCAGACTATGGTTACTTTTTTATTGGTTACGTTATTACATGTTATTCATCTTTTTCCTTTCTAAAATAACCTAGCACTTGTATACATTCAGTTCTAGTTACATACAGGTCACTGCACTGATTCAATGATGAGATGTAATTTTTCTAGCACTGACATGATTTACATCTTGTGTCATACACAGAGTCGTATGATTCTTTTTTTCCCATCAGGAGCTGAATGTCCGCGAGCTCACTCTGTCCACCGACAAGGACAAATACGGCATTCGTCTGCGAGCTGAGCCGGATCACATGGTGCTGGGCAAACGGCTGAAAGGGGCATTTAAATCTGTGACTGCATCCATCAAAGAGCTGAAGAGTGACGAGCTGGAGATCTTCCAGAGGACAGGCATGTACCGCATCACACAAAACCATCGCTCTGTCATCGTTTACTCCCCTCGTGCCGCTCAGTTCATTTTCCTGCCGAACACACAAGGAGAGTTATTGGAAACCGTGATGAAAGTGAATGAGGACTGGGGCTGTCGAGATACAGAAAGGCCAAAAAAAAAGTCAAAAAAGTTCACTCTGAAGTCATACTTCGGCTTGTCAGGGATTTCCTCAATGTGCAGCATGTAAACATGCCAAAGAAAGTGTTTGCTGTCTAGTGAGGATTCTAGAGTAATGAGAATTATCATAGAAAATAATGAGAATTACAAACAAGCCAGAATATTTTTAAGGGATATCACTATCTTTCTTCCTTGTTTTATTTTTAACAGCAAACCTTGATTCTGCAGCATTTTGTTTGTCAAAAAAATTTAATAATTAAGTTTTTGTTTGATTAAAAATTAAAAGATTAATTAAATTGTAGATGTTTTTATGCATTCGTTTAATTTCCAGTGTTTATGATAATATACCTGCATTAAATCATAAATCTAGAGAAATTAAAACAGAAAAGACAGAATATAATTTTTATTTAAAAAAAAACTTTTTTATTTTTTTTAGTTGATTTTTGATTATTAACATTTAATTTAACCACCAGTGGATTTCATTGGGCTGTAAAGAGTCATTTTTGTTTAAATTGTTGCTGAATTGCAAAAGTGATTTGAATGAATGTTTTTGATTACTGAAATTTAATTTCACCATAAAGAAACCCAGAAAAAAAAAAATTAAACCGAAAAAGCTTGGGAATTTGTGGAAAAATAAAGCAGTCTGAGTGCACTAACAAGTCATACTTGAGGTGCATAAAGACTCTGAGAGCTCGGGCTGGTGTCAGACGCTGCGCTTTGTCTCTGAAGCGGGCGGTGGTTTTTCAGAGCGGTTACCTGTGTGTTTGCTGGGCTTTGGAGGGAAGAGAAGAGCTCCAGCAGCCGTGATCTGATAGCATCGCTCCCCTTTCTAAAGCATGTTCATGCCTCTTATTCGTAACACTGATGCTGTGACGAGCAGAACGCTGGATAAGACTGGGAAGCTGTGCTGTAAGAGATGAGATGTGAATCTGGAGATCCAGAGACGGAGAATCCCTCACTCTGCTTTTACACAAACCTGTGCGGATTTAGCAATGGAAAATTCTTTAGGAGTACCATAATATACCCAAGCTGTTCTCCTGCCATTTTTTCGCTTAGCCTTGCAAAACTGACCAGCTTTCTCCCTCAAATCAAAAGAGAGATTTTTTTTGGACCATTGTGATTGAATAATTAATGAATTATATATATATATATATATATATATTAAATTAAATGTTTAATTAGTTATTTATTTAATTAGTTTGCTCACAAATTCTCATTACTGTACCAATAGAAACAATGATATTTGCAAAAATGTATTAATGATGATTAACATTTTTACAATTTCATCGTTTTTTGTGATCAGACATGTTTTTGTAAAATTGTCTGTTTTTCAGTTGTATAAAATAATCATTGAGGAGGTAGGGGGCCTTTTTAAAAGTGTGATTTCTGGACCTGCAGAAGTCTTTTTATCTGGAAATTAATAATTATTTAATTATAAAATTATATATTCGTTACGATTTATTTTTTTTTATTTTTTTTTATTTTAATAATAATATCACAAATCACAAACTAGAAAAGCTGTGCTTTTCTAAACCATAAAAAAACATTTGGTTATTGGAATTATGGAAATGAATGACTTATTAGTTTAATACAGTATATTGCCACACATTGTTTCTATTGCTTTGTCATTATGGTATCTCTCAAATGTTATCTTTGCTCATGCTAATAAAGCGGCGCTGTCCCGTGGCGTCTGTGAGCAGCTCTCATGTCAGTTTGTCCACTGCAGGGTCCATCGTTGTGGACGGTCACGAGCTGCACGAGGACGATCTGCGTCTGATGTATAGCTTCGATCAGACCTCGGGAACACCGTCCCAGTACGAGGCGCATTCAGACGCTCAGGTGCTCTTTCTGCTCTCGCTCCGTCTGAACCCACGCTCCTGCAGTCTGCTGATCTGAACAGACCCCTGTGTTCTCACAGGTGCTGGTTCTTCTGGACGTCACCCCCGATCAGTCCATGCAGGACGAAGGTGTGGCCCGCGAGGTCATCAACCGCATCCAGAAGCTGCGCAAGAAGGTGAGAAAACATGAAGTACAATACCGCTCAGCAGATCAGGTCATGTCTTTGAAAAAAGTCTCTTCTGCTAGCCAAGGCTGGATTTATATGATCAAAAATAAAGTAAAAATTGTGAAATATTATTAGAACTTAAAATAGCTGTTTTCTGTGTGATATATGTTAAACTGTAATTTATTTCTGTGGTCAAAGCTGAATTTTCAGCATCATTACTCCAGTCTTCAGTGTCACATGATCTTCAGAAATCATTCTAATATGCTGATTTGCTGCTCAAGAAACATTTCTGATTATTATCAATGTTGAAAACAGTTGTGCCTCACAATATTTTTGTGGAAACCATCATACATTTTATTTTTCAGGATTCACAGATTGAATAGAAAGTTCAAAAGAACAGCATTTATTTGAAATGTAAATCTTTCGTAACATTATAAATTATATTAGTGTCACTTTTGATCAATTTAATGCATCCTCGATGAATAAAAGTATGATAAGAATGATTTCTGAAGATCATGTGACACTGAAGACTGGAGTAATGATGCTGAAAATACAGCTTTGATCACAGAAACAAATTACATTTTAAAGGGGACCTATTATGCAAAAATCACTTTTATAAGGTGGTTGAACACAGTTGTGTGGCCGCAGTGTGTGAAAACAACAGCCTATAATGGTAAAAATCAACCCACTCATTTTTCAATTATAACCAGTCTCTCCGAAAGAGTGAGAGTTGCAACTTTAGCTAACGGAGATATACAATGTCAGCGCTAAAGAGGCATTACAAGTGTTGTGTTTTGGGATGCACCAATGAACATAGGAGTCTCCATAGACTCCCTCCATCTGAGCTGCTGAGGACACTGTGGTTAAATTTCATTTTCGAATGGAAATATCTCGGTAAAGTCCCCTATAGGGATCAATTCCAAAACTTTGTGCGCGAATGTCAGCTCCAGAAAAAGGAGTTGTTTGCAGTTGTTTTTATGTTTTTGTTAGTTTGTCCTGTCTTTAGTTATATCCCTGCAATCAGTTTCACCAGAGATGAATTGCTGGACATTCGGCAGTACACACCACCCGATATTTCACCGGTTTTCACTATTCTGATGTTTTGCTGGACATTGTAGTCGGGGGAGCTGTGGCGCTGATCAAGCGCTTCAGGACGCGCAGACGGGGGAAGCGAGCCGGCGCGCTCGTCAAGCTCAGACAGCGCGGATTCAGAACGCCGTTGCCGAGCATCCATCTGGTGAACCTCCGCTCTCTACCCAACAAAACGGACGAACTCCTTCTGCTCTCCCGGACAAATAAGGATTTTTCAAACTCTGCTGCTCTGTGTTTCACGGAAACCTGGCTGAAAGACGCCATTCCGGACAGCGCGTTGAGTCTGCCGGGCTTTCAGCTGTTTAGAGCAGACCGCGACGCAGAATCAACGGGGAAATCGCGCGGCGGCGGGACATGCTTTTACATCAACGAAAGGTGGTGTACAGATGTAACT